GGTGGCTGTGTTCTGCCAAGGTGACTGAGGAATAGACAGGGCAGGTCTGCAGAGAAGCAAAATGAAGGAGATGCCCCAAAGGGCCAGAGGGACAGTTCTCTGCTTTGCTACTTTCTTTTTTCTTTTCTTTTCTTTTTTTTTTTTTTTTGAGACAGAGTTTTACTCCTGTTGCCCAGGCTGGAGTGCAATGGCGTGATCTCGGCTCACCACAGCCTCAGCCTCCCGAGATCAAGCGATTCTCCTGTCTCAGCCTCCCGAGTAGCACGCACCACCATGCCTGGCTAATTTTGTATTTTTAGTAGAGACAGGGTTTCTCCATGTTGGTCAGGCTGGTCTTGAACTCCTGACCTCAGGTGATCTGCCTGCCTTGGCCTCCCAAAGTGCTGGGATTACAGGTATGAGCCACTACCCCTGCCTGCTTTACTACTTCCGATTCCAGGCCCTTCCTGGTCTCTAGGGCCTGAGGCCTCCATGAGAACCCTGGAGTGTGGTCGGCAGAAGAAGGTCCTCTTCCCAAAGGTGCCCACATCCTAATCCCCAGAACCTATGAATACATTAGGTTACATGGCAAAGGGGAATTGAGGTTGCTAATCAGCTGACTAAAATAGGGAGATTATCCTGCGTTATCCAAGTGGGCCCAATGTCATCGCTGAGATCTTTAAAAATGGAAGGTCGAGGCAGAGAGAATCAGAGTCGGAAAGATGATATGGCACTAACTTAAAGATGGAGGAAGGAGCTATGAGCCAAGAAATTTGGGTAGAAAGGGCAAGGAAACATTCTCTCCTATAGTGTGTCCAGGAAAGAGCACAGCCCTGTAGAAACCTTGATTTGAGCCCAGTGAGACCCGTCTGAGAGTCGGAATGAGAGAGCTGTAGATGAAAACGTTGTGTTACTCTAAGCCACTGTGCGTGTGGTCATTTCTTATAGCAGCAACAGGAAACCAACACACCAGGTAACCCAGTCCTTGCAACTCAAGAATCCTAATGTGGGCCACTTGAATCCTTTTTACCTTGGCTTTAGAATAGCACTGTGTCTCAGAAGGCTCTTTATAAATGACATACTTTTACTCATCGGCTTAATGGTAAACCTTGATTTAGCATTGTTGTAGGCAATATCAAAGATCAGAGGCCACACCAGCTTTTAGGCAGCTCCCATTTACTAGAGGTTCAGGACATCCACAGAAGTGGAACTGTTTTTTTGTTTTGTTTTGTTTTGTTTTTGAGATGGAGTTTTGCTCTTGTTGCCCAGGCTGGAGTGCAATGGTGCAGTCTCAGCTCACTGCAACCTCTGTCTCCCAGGTTCAAGCAATTCTCCTACCTCAGACTCCCAAGTAGCTGGGATTACAGGCGCCCACCACCACGCCGGGCTAATTTTTGTATTTTTAGTAGAGATGGGGTTTCACCATGTTGGCCAGGCTGGTCTCGAACTCCTGACCTCAGGTGATCCGCCTGCCTCCGCCTCCCAAAAATGCTAGGATTATAGGCGTGAGCCACCACGCCCGGCCAGAAGTGGAACTTAAGAGGGGGTAGGAGGGAGGGAGGCCTGGATAGTGCAGCATGCAGACAAGGGCTAGGGCTCTCAAAGAAGCTTCAGGAAGGAGGTAATATCTGAGTTAGATCTCAGGAGAGGGGAAGGTTTGCAGCAGGCTCGGTGGAGAATGAGAGGTACCGTGTCAGTCCTCAGCTGAGGGATAAGGAGAGCAAAGGCAGAGAGGAAGTGGAGGTTGGTGGGCCAGGTGAGTGGCAGGAAGGGAGGTGGCAGGGAATGGGGCTGGCAGGTGAGCCAGCGCTGAATCACGAGGCCCCGTTGATGCCCTGGTGAGCAGCTTGGCTGTAGTCAGGCGGAAAACTTGTGAACGGGAATGGCTAGTATTGGGCTGTGCTTTAAATGGCAAATCTGATTTTACTTTCTAAATGTTAAACTACCTTTAAGCTTCAAGCAATATGTGTTTTCTGGGAAAGCCCCAGGTATAAGTGCTCACCTGGAGGGTGGAGGTGAACTCAAGAAGAGGCACCTTGGGGATCCATACTGGTGGAAAGGGCATCACGCTCGGTTAGCTCCCTTTCCATGTTGAACAGAGCCAAGCTCTTCCCCAAGGCTCTGCCCTCTGGCTGGCATGCCTTGCCCGCCTTTTGTGTGGCTGGCTCCTTCTCCCTTCCAGGTCTCAGCACTGATGCCTCCCCTCATACAGACCTTCCCTGCCCCTGTCGCTGCTCCATATCATTCTCTGTCAGTCCAACAAACCACAGATCAGGGCAGTGCAAATGCCAGAGGCAGGGAGGCTCCGGACACCTTCATGTGAGCTGAGTGCCAGCACTAGTCTCTTTCCCCTGGCACGTTGTAGGCCACAACTGTGATGAAATACACGAATGCAAGTCCCTTTGAAGTGGAACCCAAGGCTGGCCTCCCCAAGCCCAGACCTCCACGACTCTATACCCCTTTTTTAATTGCAAATCCAGGATTTGGAATAGGATATTCAGCAGGGAAACCACTGCATGAGTCCCGTCCAGATTAGGAAGGATAATCTGTTTTACTCCATCTACAAAGTCAGGTGTTAGTATCATCCAGAAACACCCTCGCAGAAATATCTAGAAGAATGTTTGTCCAAATATCTGGACACTCCATAACCAAGTCGAAACATGAAATTAACCATCGTCCTTAAACTCTTAATCCAATTGACTGGTGTTCTTATAAGAAGAGGAAATTGGAGACACAGGAAGACCCCTGGGGCACAGGCACACAGAGTGATGGCCACGTAAAGGGGCAGCAAAAGAAAGGAGAAAGGCTGTGAGCCAAGGAGAGCGACCACAGAGGAATCTAGCTCTGTGGACACCTTGGTCTTGGACTTCCAGCCTCCAGAACTGTGAGAGAATACATTTCTGTTGTTGAAGCTGCCCATTGTGTGGTGTTTATGTCCCAGCAGCCCTAGGAACCCACTGCCCTTCCAAACACAAACAGGGAAAGCCCTGTTGGAATTTTCTTACTCCTCAGAGGATTTTCTTACTCTTCCCTTTTCTCTGGGCTGCTTTGCGTGCTTTGTCGGTGGCATCTTCCTTACCTCCAGGGTTTGCATTTCTTATTCCTCCACTTTCCTGAAAAACAAGGGGAAGTCCTGCTTATATTTTTCCAGGGAGACTGGTAAGGTAGGGCTCAACGAGCTTGGCGATTCTTCACTTACCACCATGTCAGTGGGAGAATCTGGAAATCTCGGTTCTCAAGTCAAGGCCACTAGCCTAGAAAGTGTCTTCGTGTGAATTTGTGAAGGGCATCCTTGCCTGACTCAGGGAGTGGACAGTAGGGGAAGGGGGCCTTGGCAAGCATAGCTATGGTGGACTTCAGCCTCCCCTGCGTGCCGCCGCCGCTGTCTGCCGGGGCCTCTCTGTCCGCTCCGTGTGCTGCATCATGGTTTCATGTTCTCCTTCACCACACACTACAGAGGAAAGAAGGATGGAGCGCCCTAGGAAGCAATGCCTGGGTCAACGAAATATAGTGAATAACAGCAAGAGGAGGTTGTGTTTCTGTTTGCATGTGTATCTGCGATATTTACGTCCTCTAATAACAGTTGTTCCAACACACAGACAATCTTCAGGAGGAAGCTAGGAAAGTGAGTGACAGTTTCTCTGTGTCCACCGGCTTCTTGGATCAAGTTCAGAAAGTGAAATATTTGGGCTGGACGTGGTAGCTCACGCCTGTAACTTCAGCACCTTGGGAGGCTGAGGTGGATGGATCACCTGAGGTCGGGAGTTTGAGACCAGCCTGGCCAACACGGCAAAACCCTGTCTCTACAAAAAAATACAAAAATTAGTCGATATGGCGGCGGGTGCCTGTAATCCCAGCTACTTGGGAGGCTTAGGCAGGAGAATCGCTTGAACCCGGTAGGCGGTGGTTGCAGTGAGCTGAGATCACGCCACTCTAGCCTAGGCGACAGAGCAACACTGTCTCGGAAAAAAAGAAAGAAAGAAAAGAAAAAGTGAAATATTTGAAGAAGCTGCTTTGGCATTTCATGACAGGCCAGCAGGGCCAGCAGGAAGACTAAGTGAAGGCAGAGCAGCCCTTCCTCCCCTGCATTCTGGAGGGGCAGAGAGTGAAGGTGGTCTCGGGGTATCTGAATATTCATCTCCCCTGTGGGAGCAAAGCTCCTCACCAGTGTTCAACCAGGGAGGACTGACTGTGCCCTGAGACTGTCTGTGGCACCGTTGTGGCATCCTGTGGGTCCAGAGAGATACCTTTGGTCTCTGGGCTCCTATGATGTACATGGAGAGACAGGAGAGCAGGATCTGATGAGGACCAAGTGCAGGTAACAGATCGTTCCGAGGAGAGAGGGGCTCTGAGGAGCAGGGTTGATCATTAGCAGCTTACACCTCAGGCCGTGCTGGCTGACAGTCCTGTAGACAGGTCCTGTGATCCTAAGTCCCTGGTTTGGGGATGCGTTTGACCCTAGGTGAGGTACCCTAGGACAATAAGATCATAGTATTTCTTTCATTCTCTCATGTTCTTCATGGTGGCTGTTCACATGCAGGTCCCTCCCAGTCCTCTCTGTGCCCTGGGAGTTCTTTGAGGCTGATAGATGCGCGTCCCAGAGCTGACATGGTGCCTGGCACGTGGAGATGCTAAGCTGAGGCTGTTGAAATTCACACTGTAGTTGAAATTCACACTGTAGTAGAGACTCCATATGTTTAAAGACACAGAGTGACACTCTAGCAAGCAGGCCCCAGCGAGGGAGGTACAGGTGTGATTATAACCCAGAGCAGAATTAACGATGGAACGTGACCTGGTTTTGTAGGATTTGAAAGTTGGAGAAAGACTTGCTCTGGCTTTCAGACGCACAATTGCCAGGTGTGTAAAACCACCCCTAATCCTCTGGTGGAAACAGTGTGTGTGGTGGGGGGTCTCGGGAATCCAGAGCAATGGCCCAGCCTGGAGTTGGGGGATCTCAGAGGCTGTATCACTCGGGCAAAGCTAGATCATGGTGCAGGAAGAAACAACTCCCAGATCGCAGCGGCTTAAACAACAAAGGTTTATTTCTTGCTCACTACATATCCACTGCGGGTTGGTGGGTGGGAGTGGGGATTCTGCTCATCGCTTAGGACCCCAGGCTGGCAGAGGAGGGCTTCAACTGGAGAGCTGCTTCTATGTGGCAACCTGTGCCCAGGCTCTCAAAGCTTCTGCCTGGAAGTGACCCTCAGCCGTTCTGCTCATGCTCCACTCGCCGGGGCAGCCCCGACCTAACCTCCCAGCAGGCAGCGCATCACACGTTACAGGTGCTCAGAAGAGGAGAAACTGCATCTTTGTCAACAAAGACGACCACGGAGGGGAGACTGCTGATGGAAGGTGGTCAGGAGTAGGGGGGCTTGTTCCTGTCTGTGGGTTCTCCCCTATCTCCCAGGACTGAGCTCGACACAGGCACAGGCTGAGGCCTTTGGAAAGCTGGGCTTGGGGGCTTCTATGACCTGGCAAGGTTTGCCTTCCTGAAACTTTCTCAGCAGATGGTGAAATCCAATTTGGAATGCTCAGCCGGGCCCGGCCATTCTAACCTCATCTCAGCCGCCAGCTGTGAAACCACAGGGTCAGGGCTGGGGTTGAGAAAGCCACCAGGAACCAAAGCGTTGTTGTTTTGTTTTTGTTTTGTTTTGTTTACTTTCAGGAACTAAGGAGAAGTAAAGTGAAGGACAGGAATACAATAATTATTATTAATAATAATAAAAGAAACTGGAAGCCAGGATGCCCCTGACCATGCTGGGAGCAGTGGAGAATTGGAACAGGATGGATGGGCAGAGGGGACTGGGGAAGATGCCACAAGCCATCAGGGGTCAGAGGCCACCAGGAGAAACAGTGCTGTATTCTCGGCCCTCCACAGCGAAGGCTGAGCTTCCCAGCCAAAAACTGACAAAGGAGGAGAGGGCCTAGAAACAGAAGAAAGATGTGGAGTTGGCACCTGCTTCCCTCTGGCTGCCCAGCCTGGATCACATATCACTGACCCCGCTATCACACCTGAGGTGCAGAGTTAACTGTTACTTTCTCTGGGAAGTGTCCCTGATGTCCCGCCCACCACAGGGCTGGCCACCCCTCCTCTATGCTCTCTCTCTCTCTCTCTCTTTTTTCCCCCCTGTGATGGAGTCGTGCTTTGTTGCCCAGGCTGGAGTGCAGTGGCACAATCTCAGTTCACTGCAACCTCCACTTCCTGGGTTCAAGCAATTCTCCTGTCTCAGCCTCCTGAGTAGGGGGGACTACAGGTGCATGCCACTATGCCCAGCTAATTTTTGTATTTTTAGTAGAGATGGGGTATCACCATATTGGTTCAGGCTGGTCTTGAGACCAGGTAATCCACCCATCTTGGCCTCTCAAAGTTCTGGGATTACAGGCATGAGCCACCATGCCTGGCCCCTCCTTTATGCTTTCTAAGCATCCTATATTTATTTACACTCAGCTAGGCTGTGCCCTTAGGACCTAGTACCACTGCAGGAACAAAGATGGGCACTGTGAATTGAGAAGGAATGAATGATGGGGTTTGTGAGGTTCAGCATTTATTCCTCAGGAGGTGACCAGGCTGGTCAGAGGCACCTGGATCTGGGGACAGCTGAGCCCTCCCTGCTGCTCAAGACTGGCCTGGGCACTGCGGTGGTGCCAGTCCTGGCCCCTGACAACTCAAGCTCCTAGGTCCAGCCTAGACTCCAGGGACCTCCAGGCCAGCCCAAGGCTCTTTGAAGCAAGAATCTGAGTCTACTAAACTGTCTTGTCCCACCCGACCCCCCAGACTCCTCAGCTAGCTCCATCCCTGGTGGCTACAGCTTCAGATGGCCCCCCATACAACTCACAGATACGGGTTCCGGGGCCTCACCCCTAACTCATCAGGCCCAGGGATACCCTAGTATTAGCCTTTCCTAGGAGGAGGAGTTTGCCCAACTTTCCCGAAACATCCAGAACGTTCCCACAGCTTCTCCTCTGTCTTTCCTGAATCTCTTGGGAGTGGACCATTCCTAAGCACTGGGAACTAGAAGTACCAACCTACCATCTACCTCTCAGTGCCTCGGATTACCCATTTGTAAAACTTGGGCTGCATTTCACGCTTCTTACAGAGTTTAGGGGGCCATTAATATTAAAGCCCTGGATGATCTCTGGAAGACAGGGGCTCCGTTTTCATGATTTTGTCCTCTAGCTGCCCCACAACCTCCCTGGAACCTTCTGGAATGTGCTGCACAGGTCGAACTAGAGCAGGGAACCCAAGGATTGGTGGGGGCCCGCAAGTGGATGGCCTGGGACCTGGGAACATTGAACCATGGCAATGACTGTGTCTTTTCAAAGGGAAGTGGCTCAACGCCATTCGCTTTGTGGTGGGTCTTTGGGCCCCAGGGAGTGCCCAGTCCTGGGCCTGGAGAGGGCAGCAGGGGAAGGGACCTTCAGAAGTGAGGGGAGGCCTGCAGGAAGGGCCTCCAGGTGGGAGTCAGCCTCGGCACCAGGCCCAACTGCTCCAGCTGCAGCCGAGTGGGCCTGTAGGCCCCCAGGTTGCTGTAGACGGCGGCGGGCAGGCCGTCGTGGGGCCGCGGGGAGAAGTGGGCCTGGGGACTCGGGGCTCCCCAAGGGCCGTGATGGGGCTGGAACCGGGGCGGTGGAGGCGGGTGTGGGGCCGCGGGGCTGCCGGGCCCCGAAGACGCTGACACACTTCGGGTGCGGGGGTGGCTGCCCGCCGAGAGGCCGCTGAAGGGGTTGGAGGACGTGCGGTCACTGGCGGAGCCGCTGCTGCTGCTGAGGCGACCATTGGCGGGGGCTGCTCCGGTCGGGACGGGGGCGACCAGCCGCGGGGACTTCAGGCCCATCACCGGCTTGGAGGAGGCGTAGAGGTGGCGGAACTCCTCGTCAAACGGCTCCACCGCCTGGCCTGTGAACTTGGAGAGGATGTTCCGGTGCACGTGTCCGCAGAGCCAGGTGAAGCTGGAGGGGAAGAGGAGACAGTGAGGGAGGAGGAGGGAGGAGGAGGAGCAGGGGGAAGTAGGGGGAGGGGAAGCGGAGCAGGAGGGGAAGGGAGGGAGGAGGTGGAGGAAGGAAAAGGAGGGAGAGGGGATGTGGGAGGGGGAACAGGAGGAGGAGGAGGGGAGGGGGAAGGGGAAAGGGGAAAGGGAGAAGAGGAGGAAGAGGAGGAGGGGAGGGGAGGGGGAAGGGGAGAAGGGAGAAGAGGAGGAAGAGGAGGAGGGGAGGGGAGGAAGAGGACAGATAGGAGGTTTCGCCGGCCCGGGCCCCAAGACCCTCCTGGGTGACTAGTCTGGGAGTTGTGGGACCCCCCCGGGGCAGGGACGTAAGGGGACCAACCCCCATGCCCACCCTCCCCTCCTGGCGGGCTCGTTTCATCCAGGCAGAAACCCTGAGAGGGAGACATTGCAACGCCTCTCTTACAGACGACGAAACTGAGGCTCAGGGGCCAGAATGTGTTTGCAGGCGAATAATTAAGAGGCCAGAGCGAATCCCTGGCCTCAAGGCTCCCTCGTGGTGCTCAGATTGCAGCCCCTTAGAGGCTCCCTGAGGAGGCAGAAGGGGACTGAGTCCCAGGCTCCCGGACTCCGCGCTCAGGGGAGTCACCCAGCAGCCGGGGCCTTCTCTCTCCACCTGTGGAATGTGGAGCGCCAGCTCCTTTAACCACACAGGGGTGGGGAAAGCCCCTACAAAAGGCTGCTCTTGGGAAGCCGGGCTGTGTTTTCATGAAAATCTAAAGCATTCCTGAAAGAGGGTTCGGCTCCATTTTCAGGCACAGGGCCCCAGCTGGGATGAGCAGAGGAGGAGCGCCGTGCGGCCTGCGTCCCTGGAGACACGGGGTGGAGGGGATGGGGGAGTGGGGAGACACCCTCAAGGAGAGGCCTGGGGCCATCACTTACAGGTTTTAGGGAAAAACCAAATGCCTAAGGCAGTTATTACTTTGTATATACTTTGTATACCAGAGTTGTTTTTTTTTTTTTTTTTTGAGATAGTCTCGCTCTGTCACCCAGGCTGGAGTGCAATGGCACGATCTCGTCCCACCGCAACCTCTGCGTCCCGGGTTCAAACGATTATCCTGCCTAAACCACCCGAATAGCTGGGATTACTGGCGCCCGCCACCACGCCCAGCTAATTTTTGTATTTTTAGTAGAAGCAGGGGTTCACCATATTGGCTAGGCTGGTCTCGAACTCCTGACCTCGTGATCCGCCCGCCTCGGCCTCCCGAAGTGCCGGGATTACAGGCGTGAGCCACCGCGCCCGGCCTGATTCCCAGATTTAACCCAAAATCTTTTCTGTTTCCGATGGAAAACTCCTTTCGTTCCCCCCTCCCTCCCCAATCCCCCCTCCCCCAAGCAATGCTTGAAACTCTGGTAATAGCATAGATCTCCCAAGAGCACCAGGCTAGAGGATCCTGGGCTCCCGCACAGGTGAACTTGAAGCAAGGGGAGAAGCATGGTCGGGGGAATGGTCAATGGTCGCCGAGCCGGGACAGCGCCAGAGCTGAGCAGAAAGGGGCCCACCAAGGATGGGGTCGCAGCCCCCAGCCCCAGCCCACCCGTCTTGCCACCCAAAGGCCTGGCCTCAGCCCGGGGTTGGGAGTTGCCTGCTCTGCGAGGCAGGGCGGGGCCGCACAAGGCTCGGATAATCCTGGGAACAGCAATGAGGCTTTGTTTAAATCTCACCTCAGGAAGGGAACAACCCACACCCCCAGAGAGGTAAGCGGAGCCAAGGACCAGCCCCGCCACGGGACAGGAGGCAAGCTGCAGGGACAAAGGGCCGCGCTACACTCAGAAGCCACTCGCCCTATGTTGTCTAAATCAGGCTACATGGGGCAACATAGCTGCTGCTTTGCTCAACAGAACAAGTCCAAAGAACAAGTCCAAAGACGTCCTGGCAATTCCTCAGGTCCCCAGCACCTGTGTCCCTGATTGCACTGTGCCCGGCACCAGAGCCCCCGACACCTACACACCCGGGCATCTCGTGCTTTAGCTTTTTTTTTTCCTTTTGTTTTTGAGATGGAGTCTCGCTCTGTTGCCCAGGCCGGAGTGCAGTGGCATGATCTCAGCTCACTGCAACCTCTGCATCCCGGGTTCAAGCAATTGTCTGCCTCAGTCTCTAGAGTAGCTGGGATTACAGGTGCCCACCACCATGCCTAGCTAATTTTTGTATTTTTAGTAGAGACAGGGTTTCACCATCTTGGCCAGCCTGGCCTTGAACTCCTGACCTCGTGATCCACTTGCCTCAGCCTGCCAAAGTGCTGGGATTACAGGTGTGAGCCACTGTGCCTGGCCATGCTTTAGCTTTTATACTTTTGATCACAGCCCATGAGCAGAAATACATTTTATTTCTATTGTTGTTTGGCCCATAAGTACGTAGCATTCATTTAATCATCTTCGGCTCATGACCACTCTACTCATTGGTCTATTCATCACCCATTTTCACTTATTTAGCTATTTAATTGGTGATTTTAAGTAATATAGTAAGCACTTATGAACCCACTACCTAAAAGAAAAGGTCACATCTTTTCTTTTTTTTTTTTGGAGACGGAGTCTCGCTCTGTCGCCCAGGCTGGAGTGCAGTGGCCGGATCTCAGCTCACTGCAAGCTCCGCCTCCCGGGTCTATGCCATTCTCCTGCCTCAGCCTCCCAAGTAGCTGGGACTACAGGCGCCCGCCACCTCGCCCGGCTAGTTTTTTGTATTTTTTAGTAGAGACGGGGTTTCACTGTGTTAGCCAGGATGGTCTCGATCTCCTGACCTCGTGATCCGCCCGTCTCGGCCTCCCAAAGTGCTGGGATTACAGGCTTGAGCCACCGCGCCCGGCCAGGTCACATCTTTTCAAAAACTTTTCTCTTAAAAAAATTTTTTTGGCAGAGATGGGGTCTTGCTATGTTGCCCAGACTGGTCTTGAACTCCCGGCTTCAAGTGATCCTCCCTGCTTGGCCTCCCAAAGTGCTGGGATTACAGGCATGAGCCACCACACCTGGCCAAGGTAGCATCTTGAGGATAGTCCACATCAAACCATAGCATCCCTCCTTGCATCCCTTTCCCAGGACCCCTGAACTAGAACTCAGCACGTCATGAATCCTGTGATCATAACAACCTTGCTTTCATTTTTCCATAATTAAAGAATTTTTTTTGTCTTTTGGTTTTTTTTATTTTTTTTGAGATGGAGTTTCACTCTTGTTGCCCAGGCTGGGGTGCAGTGGCATGATCGCGGCTCACTGCAACCTCTGCCTCCTGGGTTCAAGCACTTCTTCTGCCTCAGCCTCCCAAGTAACTGGGATTACAGGCACCTGCCACCATGGCTAGTTTTTGTATTTTTAGTAGAGACGGGGTTTCGCCATGTTGGCCAGGCTGGTCTCAAACTCCTGACCTCAAGTGATCCACCCACCTTGGCCTCCCAAAACGCTGGGATTACAGGTGTGAGCCACTGTGCCCGGCCTGCAGTACTTCATTTTTGACTGTTGTGTAATATGGCACTGATGGCTGTCTCGTGGTGCATTCATCACCTCCCTCTGCTAAGCATTTGGGTTCTGTTGTGAACAGTGCTGCCGTGAACATTCTCATACGTCTTCTACCATACATGTGGACCAGCTTCTTGTGGAAATATACCTAGGAGTACAGTTGGTGGGTTTTAAACTAGGTGAGTATTCCGCTTTTAGAGAAAGGGCCAAAATCTTTCCACAGTCAGTGTCCCAATTTGCAATCCCATCAACAGTGTGTGAAAGATCCCTGAAATCCACCATTTGGTATGGTTAGTCTTTTTCATTTCTATGCTGGTTGGAGAGGTGTGAAATGGGGACTCATTCTAGCCTCGACTCACATTTTTCGGATCTCTCATGACGCTGCACATCTTTCCACATGTTTTTTTTGTTTTTGTTTTGGTTTTTATTTTTGTTTTTTAACCATGTGTTGCCTCCTTGGTGAAATGCCTACTTACGTCTCCCACCCACTTTTCTGCTGTGCTCTTGTGCCCTTGTGAGTCTCAGCACTAATCTCTGTCAGGTGTGTGCATCTTCAATAGCTGCTTCCAGTTCGTAACTGACTTTTCACTTTCTTTAAGATATCTTTCCTTCCTTCCTTCCTTCCTTCCTTCCTTCCTTCCTTCCTTCCTTCCTTCCTTCCCTCCCTCCCTCCTTCCTTCCTTCTTTCCTTCCTTCCTTCCTTCCTTCCTTTTCTCGTTCTGTCCCCTAGGCTGGAGTGCAGTGGCTCGATCTCGGCTCACTGCATCCTCTGCCTCCTGGGTTCAAGTGATTCTCCTGCCTTGGCCTCCCCAGTAGCTGGGACTACAGGCGCCTGCCCCCACACCAGGCTAATTTTCGTGTTTTTAGTAGAGACAGGGTTTCACCATGTTGGCTAGGCTGGTCTTGAACTCTTGACCTCAGGTGATCCGCCTGCCTCCGCCTCCCAAAGTGCTGGGATTACAGAGGTGAACCACTGTGCCCAGCCAAGATGTCAATGAACCAACATTCTTAATTGTAATATCGTCAGATTAAGCAAACTTTTATGGTCAATGCTTTTTTTTTTTTTTTTTAAAGAAATCTACTAAGAGTTTTAAAGTTTATTTTCAACATTCAAATTCTTTTCATCAATTGCAAGTTGATTTGTAAACAAATGCATGTGAGGTGGGTAGTAATCCCGTTTTACATACGGGGGGGAATTTTTTCCACTTCCTCCTTTCCCCACTGCTCTGACATGCTCTGTCGTGTGTGAATCTGTGCCTGAGCTTTCTGTTCTGTGTGTCAATTTGTCCCTCTTCCAATGCCACATTGTCTTGATTACCGCAGTTTCATGACAAGTCCTGAACTCTGGTAGGGCAAGTTCTCCCTGCTTGTTTTTCTTCTTTGGATTTATCTTGGCTATTCTTGGAAAAGCACATTTTACATCATGACCTACAAGTACATAACCACACAATAATTTCCAGAACATCCTTTACCTCAGTGTGCTCTGATTATTTTTATTCT